AGAGTCAAAGGCAGGAGTTTTTCTGAAAATCCTGGAAGAAAGTGTAGGAGGCTCTATGATACTAGCTGCCTAAAATGAGTTTTCAGAAATTAAGGAGGCCAAAAATGCTGTTTTGATAGAAAAGATCTTTTTTCCAGGAGTCTACAATACAAAAAGCTGGTAATCCAGTTACCTGGAGATTTGTAGATTTGCCAAAGTCAAATTCATACTCCAACCTAAAATGAGAGCAGTAGTGGCTACATTAGTAGCAAACAAAACAGAGAATAAGTCTGGGGACAAGGGGTACCGAACACAGGTGTGCAAGCATCTGCTTTCCTCCCTGCCAGAAGGATTTCCTGCCCTCAGTTACACTGTCTCAGCTGGGTACATGCTGGGGCCAGGGAGCCTGTCAGCAGCGTCTCCTTGCTCCACACACTGGAGGCTAATGGAATGAACTATTTGCTGTGTCAGTGCCACAGTAATCCTCCTCATCGCTGACATATTCAAGCCTAGGAGACTTCATCCACATTTCTCTTCAGCTTCGGTATTTTCTGAAGAAACAATGCTCCTTAAATATGGGTGGCAATCACCTGTGCGCCTCCTCCAGGGTCTGCACTCTCAGATTCCACTGACACCTCTGACCTCCAAGGGGCACACTCTTGCCCCTTGAACCCCGGAAGACGACATCTCACAAACTTCAAACCTCCCCCTCATCACTCCTTTCTCTTAATCCTGGTATACATTTTTTTTCTGATTTCGATAAACCCCCATAGCCTTAGTTTATCTATTACAACTTTCAGTCAGCATCATCTTTTGTCTTTTCTTTTTCCTGAACACCAGCTCTGGTTACATTTTCCTGCTTCCCTGGCAGTTAGGTGTAGCCAAGTGTCTGAGCTCTGGGATGTAAGAAGAGGTGTGCGTCACTTTGGGGTGAGTCCTTTAAAAAAAACCTTTGTCTCTGAAGCTTCTAACTCTGTCCCACCTGCAAGAAAGCCAAGGACCCCAAAGTTCTGTCTAACCATGTGGGGCAGGATGGCCCTGTCTTGCTGGCCTTCTTCAGGTTGTTATAGTATGTTGAATTAAACTTTTATTACGCTAAGCTACTGAAATTTGGGGTTGATTACAATCTACCCTGATTTATACAGCAATAAAAACTATTCATATTAGATTATACAATTTTTTACCACAAATTCTTTCTCTTCAAAGCTTTAATTCATCTTCTCCTTTGACCTCATATGCTGCTTCCACAGAAAAACCTCAGCTCAGGATGTCTAAAATTTAGGTAGTTGTGTTCTCATGTTTAGGCCACCTTCTAGCTGTAGAAGAGAAGAACGATCCTCACAGTCAAGAGGACTGTTAATTTCACTAGACCCTTAGATGGTCCCCAACACTGCAATACCCCAGTCCAGCCACCAGACAACTTCCCCCAAGTTTCTTGAGTGCCCAGAAATATCTGCTTCTATTGACTATGCCCTCCTGGAAATATTCTCTCCTGGTAAGAGTTTTCCTACCTACCACCAGGTTGTCCTATCTCATTCATTATTTCTTGGTTTTCTTTACGGTTCCTCATTCTATTCTAGTTCTTCCTCTATCATCCTTTAACTACTGCATCTCTTTCATATCTCCAATCTGCCTGAGTCCTGAATCTCAGAATCTAGTGATGTCTCCAATAAGCACAAACAAATCAGCAACTTCCTTTCCCTCCTTTCCTAAAACCACTCCTCATTCACCCGCACTCCCCTCTGTCAGTGGTTCCCCCAGCCGTAAGCCTGGAAGGATGACGTAACCTTCCAACAACTACTCACAACCCTTCTGATTCTACCTGCTAAATAGCTTCTGAATTTGTCTTTCTCCTACATACCTCCAGCTACAAACATTCGTATTTTTCTCACCAAAATTATTTCCAAAAATTCTGATCAGTTTCTGTATCTGTAGTTTTGCTTCTCCAAATCATTTTATGTGGCTGACACCCAGATCTTGCTAACATAAAAGTCAGATGATATTCCTTCTTTATTGGAAATCCATTCATGTCTAAGATCTTTGAATAAATAATTATCTTTCTTCTGCACTGACTTTTATCCAGCTCCCTGCTGGACAGTTTATTCTAATCTCACACTGTGACTCAACAATACTATTCTTCCTGACTTTGGGTCCAAAACTGACCATCTCAATATGTTCCTTTGTGCATGAAAAGCACTACCTTATCTGTTCCTAAAAGAAAGCTAGACAGAACTGCAGACAATCTCCAGCCCTCTGCCAAGCATCCATTTCATAAAGATTCTTTGAATCCTTCCTACTTGAACCCTCCTCTTGAATTTATCAGCATCTCCTCATACCCATACAAATACCCCTTCCCAGACCAACCATCATCTCTTATCCACCATAGCCTCCTTCCAGGTCTTCTGTCTCTTCTCTTCTTCAAAGCCATTCTCCACTCCACAAGCAGAATATCCTTCTAAACTGTGGATACGTTTATACTCAGAAACTTACAATGATACCCCACTGCTTTCAGCAGCACCAAAAGTAATTTTAATGGAGCTTGGATTCTTATGAAGAAAGACAAAAAATAATAAACAAGATTGCTTTAAATAATGAAATGTGAAGTGCAAGACACAAGAGAGAGTGGGTAATTGGATCTGAGGGTTAGGGCCAGCTTCTTGCAGTCTCCATGTTTCCATGAGACTAAGAGCTCAAAGGAGCTAGTCTTGGTGCCAGAAGCAGACTTCAATGGGCTCACCAGCAGCTACTGGGATATGAGCTTTCCAGGCCAGACCCAAGACCTGAGTCATTATAGGGCTTTAAACACCTACCACTGTTTCTCAGCACACTGAGGTTCTGAATGCATATTTCCTGAGTAGAGGGATGAACATAGCTTTAATTTAAACTTTAGTCCAATTTTGCTGAATTGTGTGCTAATTTGTGTGTGCATTAACACATTAATTTGCACATTAACTTCTATGTAGACAAAAATGAATGGGAGCTATACTTTAAAGAGGTATTTTTCTTTCCTTAAATCCTTCAGAAACATTTCAGAATAGATGCTATACAATAATCTCTTACAACCAGGAGACCTGACAGGACAAGAGATTGGATCGCTTGCCAGGATCTGCATGGTCTTTCATCTTTACCAACCATAAAACCCAGCATCAGTTGGAAAGCTGGACTCCAAGGTTGCTGGCTCTGACCATCCTGATAGCCAAAACTGCTTTCATACAAACCCAAGTCAACGTTAGATACTGTGATTCACAAAGAAATAATTTTAATTCATTATGATTCATTTCTACTAAGGAGAAAAATTTAAAAAGACCTCATAAAATATGGTGTGTTGGGTCTAAATTATTATATTTGATTCTGGAAAATAAGATATGCAAAATCATAACGTCTTGGTCTCAAATCCAAAGCTTGTTTTTTAACAAATTTTGCAGCAAAGCCTGAGCTGATGTAAGAGGATTTATATCCTTTATTTAGTTCATTTGATGTGACTATTCATTTGTTTCACTATAGAAATAGAATTCCTTTCACCTTACAAGAATGTTAAGTAAGAGATAACATAATAAATGTAGTGTTTTTTAAGTGCAAATAATCCTGAACTTCAAGGTGTACCTGACCCCAAAAGTTTTGCATATGGGCTCTATATTCTAACATTCAAGTTATGAAACTTCTATTATGTGTGGGCTTTGAAGGACTTAGCAAAAGTAAAGTCAAAGAAACATGATTAATGCAGTTCTAGCCTTTGGAAGTTATATGATGGAATCTGCTCCAGGTTTCCTTTCAGATATCATTTAAAGTATCATTTACACCATTGCATTATTGCTTTTCCCATATATATCTACTTCTATGGGCTACAGATGATTCTGACTATGAGAAAACTTTTATACATTAATCCTTTGCAGTGCCCTCAACCGCAATCTAGGAATTGGGGACATCAGAATAATTTATCATAACTTTTAAATTTTCCAAGTATTTTATTTTTCTCATTTTATAACTTTTAATAATTTCCTTATACTTAACATTTTTTCTCCTAAAAGTTTCAAGGAAAAAGTGCCTACTTGTTGAGAGGAAAGTTTCTACTCTTTATAGAGGATTTATCTGATATTATCTGCAAAATTCATTTTTGTATATGATGCTTGATGGTCATAATTACTCTTCCGGGATATTTCCTATTCTTCCTATCATGTAACTGAGCAAACTTAGACTCAATGTGCCCAAACCCACATGATTCCTAAGTGGCAGAATTAAAGTTGAACACAGGAGTGTCAAAGCTTGTGTCTTCTAAAACATCACAGAGCCAATAACTGACCCAAATTCCAATCTTATTCTCACTTCATGCACTGTTGGAAGGAAAATCTTGCTTGATCCACAGTAGAAACCAGAATACAATTTTTTTCTAAATTCCTATGTTAAATATTTGATAACATCTTTACAACTCTATAAAATGAAGAGCTATTACATAGTTATAAAAGATTTAACTCTATAGTCATATAAAATATCAATATAATTTTGTTTTTTGTTTTATTATTTAAAAAGTAAATACAAATAATTAAAATTAGGAGGCTTATCATCAAATACAGCTAAATAAGACATTCAATATTTACCCACCTTTTAGCAGCATCATCTACATTTATTGAAAATATTATCAATGAGAGAAAGAGAAAGACTTACAGCTCATAACAATAAAGCATAAAAGGAAAGAGATGAAGATCATTAATGATTTTAATTATTTTAAGGCTCATTAAAATTAGAGAAATGTCGAAGCACCCACAGTGTTAGGGTTTATCATTACAGCATTTTAGAGTTTACTAGTTCATACCTTTCAATCACAGCAAGTTATTAGCAGTGAAGGGATGAACCCTCTGAAGAGGATTTTTATTTCAGTGATAGGATGTTATGAACAAGACAACCTAAGATTTTTTTAACAATTAGTAGCAAGCGCTAGTTGAGTTAATCAGTTAAAGACAAACTGTGCCTTTGGGAAGCTAAATGAATAAGCAACCGTAAAGCTTACAGAACTTAGCTCGTACAATTTGCCTTGAAGGCGGAAGATTGGTTCCCTGAAATAGCAAAGAATTATATGCTTTAGTTCAGAAAAAAAGTTTTTAAAATAAAGTCTGTTATTACCTCTTCTCCTTTCAAAACAATGGGAAAAAATCTAGAGCAGAGGTTTCAATTTGTTCAATAATTGTACCTCTGAGTTTAAAAAAAAAAACTAAAAAAATCATCATTGTTTTGACTTGAAAAGAAATAACAATGCAAGTATTTATTATCACATAAAACATGAAAAAAACAGCAAATTGCCGGGTTAATAGGATCTCTGCAGAGCGCTATTAGTCAGGGACAGCTGGTCAGCCCCAAACACAAAACTCCAAAGATCAAATGATCTCCATAAGAGTGAACATCTTCATTTACCAACAGGAATTTAGCGTGACAGAGGTTCAATCTACCAACTGCCTCCTTCACGAGCTGTCCCTTCACTGTTACCAAGCTGTGCAAGTGTGTGAACTAGTCAGCCACACCAGAAAGCTCATGCAACTACTCACCATGTGTTCACCTTGAACTGACTCTTAGAGTCAGCATTAACTTTAGGGGGTCATGTAAGCAAGCAAGTGAGGACACAAGTAGTCATATTTGAAATGCAGTGAGTAGCAGAAAAGTTGCTTAAAATAAATCAATATGTTTAACTGCATAAAATAGCCAAAAAGCAATGCTATTCAGTCTGAAAACTTTAAAAGCAAAAATTAAAAAAATGAAAAGCTGCATTTTAAGCAAAATTGGCACATGATTAATTTGCACTTAAAAAATAGTCAATTGAGCGATTTAGTTGCTGCTATTCTTTAGGGCATGCATGCACCGATTCTCTTGTACAATTCCTACCTGATTTCCGATTGTGGTTTTCTTGTGAACCTGACTGCTCCTCTGCTGAGCACTGAGAAAAGCAAAGGAAAGCAGGACTGAAGAAATTCAAAAGAACATTTTCCAAACAAGTAACAGATGCTAAAATATACCCAGGGTTTTAAAAAGTCAATAACTGATGCATAGCTAATATATATAT